TATATAATTAAAACTAAAAAGGGCTGGGGATGTAGCAATGTCCCTACATTCAACACTCAGTACCACCCAAATAAATGACTAGGACACAGCTCATGGAAGAGCCCTTGCCTAGCATGTGTAACATCCCACATTCAATCCCCAGCACTGCCTGCCAAAAGACAAAACAAAAATCTGCTATAACCTATAAATTTCAAGTGTAAATTCCAAGATGTTTTGCTTTAAAAAAAAGAGGAGGGCACTTCCCCTCAACAAAACTGAAGTGGAAAAGCAACTCTGAAGGGCTTTTACACATGATATCCGGTGAGACATACTAGAGAAAACTCAGATCCCTGGCACAAGCCACTGGGACACCAAAGTACTAGCAGAAAACAACCCAAAAGCCAGCCTCAGGTGTAGGCACGTTTCCCAGGAGCATGACGGGAGCTCCATGCCAGGTCCTGTGCTGATTACAGAAGGTATCGAAATGCCTTGAAGTCTCATGTTCTAGGTGAGGAGAAATTGAGAGCTGAAGAGAGTGAACTGCTTGCCCAAAAGCTACTCAGCCCTTTCCAGCCTACCTCCTCCTCATTGTCGGCCAGCGTGCCACACTGTGGAGGCAGGGGAGGGGAGATGTGGCACAACACACAATGGCATCCCATCGCTCTGAAAGGCTGTCTGCCGAGAAGTGATTCAGATCTCCCTAAAACAGGATTGTCACCTTCCCCATTATGTCGGATCTGCATCCAGGCAGAAGCTGTTCAGACGGGGAGATGGGACAAAACTAACCTTGCTGCCCAAGGTATCCTGTTACTGCCCTTAGGGTCAGGGCCTGGGGATTCCGACTTTTCCCTCCTACCTTAGGTTCCTCCCTTAAAACCCTGTCTCAAAAAAGGAAATGGTTGGACCTAGAAGTGAACAGCAGTGGCCACAGGGTGGCAGCAGAGCCTCAGCCACAGAGCCCAGCTCCCGCAAAGTGTTTCTGGTGTACTCTGTCGGCTCCAAAACCTTTCAGTCTCCAGCACCTCACTGTCCCATCCATAGTCTAATCTCAGAGGAATGAGTCCATGTTTAACCTGCAAGTGTTGGCAAACAGAGCCACAACAGGCTCTGCATTTCCACTGCAGGCCTAGATTCCCCCTCTGGCTGCTGGTGGGGACGGGAGCAAAGAGGACAGCAGGTGTAAGAGGCTGGAGTGGCTGCAGGGAGGAGGGCAGTGGCGTTGCTGCTGTTGCTATTGTCAGTGGTCTGCACCTGTGCCAAAGGACCCAGAGACCAGCACCGAGACCAGATCTTTATGATGAATAAGCACCCTGGCCCCACATCTCCGTTTTCTTCTACCCCACGTGGGACTTGAGTTCTAGGTTCAGGCGCTCCCTGAATGCCAAAGTCTTCAATACTTCTCACATCTGAGGGAGCCGGCGTCTCAGCCTTCAAAACCTCCCCTCAGAGGTCATTCTTTCCCATGACTTCAGTGTCCTGGGCACTTGCCATCTTCCCTCCCTGCTGCTCCTGCCTTAGGAAGAAGTCAGACCACCCACCACATGGCATCCAAACCCCTGGGTTCATCCTGGGCTCCCTGCTCCAGGCCATGGAGAGAACTGGCCTGAGCCCAGCCTTTCTGTTCAGTCCCAGAGGTGAGTCTGAAAGGGACACAACAAGGGCTGGGAAGGTCAGGGGACAGAAGGGCTCGAGAGGGGAGACTGGAGGAGCTGTATGGGGGATGACTGGGTTTGGCAGAAATGCCTGGGAGTCCTGGAACAGCAAGAGGTTGAGTCCCTGGGCCAGAGAGTTCTGAAGCCCAGATGCCCCTCCATAATTTGGGAAGAAGTAACGGCATCCCTTCATGTGTTTGCATGCAAGACCCAGACCCCAAAGTGGCACATCACCCCCAGCCCCAATAAAACTGTCTGCTTCTGAATCCCTGTGTGAGACTTCCAAAGGCTGGGAAGAATCCCAGAGCAAAAACCTCAGCCCTGGACCTCTGTCATACCAGACTCTGGCAATGCAGGTGACAGGGCTCCCCTGTTACCTGCCTGCTGCAGAAAGCCTCAGAGGGGGACCAAGAGGCTGAGAGCACACAAAAGAAGGAGGGTAGTGCCGACCATGCCACCCACATGACTGAGGGCCACACAAAGAATGGGGCTTATAAAACCAAGGAGTACACATTTATTCTGGACTCCAGTGGAGCCCCAATTTCCTTCCTGCTCATGTCACCCACAGGATGAGGACGGATCCCAGGCTACAGGCCCTGTGGTCCCTGGCTCCCTGCCCAGTGCCCTCCTCAGTCTCAAGGTAGTCTGCGTCAGACAGAGACAGCACCTCCACAGGGCACGAGGATGGGCAGGTGCATGAGCCCAGAGGCAGAACAGGGGGCAAAGGGCGCATGTGTGTGAGTCCAGCTGGGGCTCTACTTGCTGCCCGCCATGATCTTTAGGTACTGCAGGGCACGGCGAGCAGCCTCGCCTCGGGCTTCCTCCCTGGTGGTTGCAGAGCCGTGACACACAGTGGCTGGCTGGGTGGACAGCTCCACTAGGCACTGGCAGAGCCCACTCACACTCAGCTCTTCTGGAGAGCAAAAGAGAAGGAGAAAGCAGTAATGGAGGGGAGTCAGCTCCAGGCCAGAGTGCATCCAGCCGTCCCCCGTCCCCCGTCCCCCGTCCCCCGGCACCTCCCTTACACATGCTCTGGTGCAGCCCCACCCCCCACCCCCAACTCGCCATACCAATGTCCAGGTAGCTGACGTGGAAGGCCTGCTCCTCCGAGAGCTCGCTGAGGATGCTGCAGCAGCCGGAGCCCAGAGCACCTAGGGATCCTGGAGAGCAACTGCGAAGGTACAGGATCTTTTCTCCTTCAGAATTTCGCAGAGAATCCCACGTGCAGCCTGGGCCCCGAGTCCGAAGCCCATCCAGGCGGGAGCCCACTCCCTGACAAGACAGGACAGTGAGAAAGAGGCCACTAGGGGCTGCAAGACAAGGGCACTGTGACAGTCAACGTCTAAGGAGGGCAAAGCCCAAAGGACGCCTCCCACCTGGCTTTCCCAGCCTCCTTACGTAGCAACCACACTTTCAGACCCTGACCCGACGGCCGGACAGACAGCCTCATCCCAATAACACAGCCTCTGGGCTCCTGGCCAGGCCCAGCTCCCCATAGCACTCCTGAGCGGGTACACGGTGGAGGCAATCAGGACTCCAGAACCCATGCAGCCTAGGTCTAATAGGAAACTGGCACAGAAGCAGCCCCAGGACCCAGACAGGGTCCTTCCTGAGTCACAAACCTAACCCCTAATGCCTGCCCCACAAGCCACTCACGATGGAGAAGTGATCCTCATCCGGCTCTGCCTCAGTGCCATCCCGGGCATCCAGGGGCACTGTGTGCACACGGAGCAACATCTTGGCTGCCGCGTTACGTTTTGCCAGCTTTTTGGAGGTGCCACTGCCTGCATGTGAGAAGAGTGCTGGATTCTGGTTCCCAACAGACTAGTTCTTTCCACCCAGCTCACACGTGAAGATTCCCCTAGGAAGTGTTAAATGGGGGGGGGGGGGGGCAGGGCTGGCCAGAAGACAAGGGGGAGTGCTAGAAAAAAGCCAAGAGAAGATGCTGAGCCAGGGATGACAAAGCAAGCAGGACAGTGTGGCAGAACAAGGCCAAGCACCCCAGGCATGCTGCAGAGAAAGGAGATGCAAGAAGCCCCTCCTGCCCAGTTACCAATCTCAATGAAACGCTCCACTCGGCAGGTCATGGTGAACTCTTTCCGGTGGGCTGGTCCAGACTCCTGGGTCACCGTGTACTCTGGCAACCGCCAGCCCTTCTGTACCACCAGTTCCTTGGAAAGAAGACATAGAGAGCACAAGACTGAGTGAAAAAAGACTCATCATGTCCTGCTGGCGCCTACCTGGGAGGCTCAGATGCTAGGGGAGAGGGTAGAGAAAGGGCCTCAGCACAAGGTTCCCACCCCACCCACAAACACATTGTCCAGCCCCTGGTCCAAGGGAAGACGAGCACACATGGTGATGAGGGCGCACACCTGCAGAGCACCAACGGGGTTGCACTCAGACTGCTGAGGGGAGACAGGGGGCTGCATCTCCATGGGGGGGCTCCTAAAGAAAAAGGGCGCAGGCCAAAGCTGCGGAGAACGGTTCCTTCTCAGGATACCCGTGAACCCCAGTGCTAACCTCAGCTTACCTCCCCACCCCCACCAAGCAGCTGTCCATCCAAACATCCAGCCTTGTTCGGTCCTACTGTAGCCCGCTTCCTCCCCTCCCCTCTCCAGTGAACCCCTAGGTTCCAGATGCTTTGCTTCGCTTTTCCCTCTCTCTCTCTCTCTCTGTCTCTCTGTCTCTCTCTCTCAAGACAGGGTCTAGCTATGCAGCTCAGGCTGGCCTTCAGTTCACTTTGTAGTCCAGGCTGGTCTCAAACTTGCAATGATCCTTCTGCCTTAGCCTCCTGAGTGCTGGGTTTACAGGCATGTGCCACCAGGCCTGGCAACTTTTTTGTTTCTTTCAAGACAGGGTCTCACTACTTTGCCCAGAATGTCTCACGCTCACCAGCCCCCTGCCTCAGCCTCCTGAGTGCTGGAATTACAACCGTGTGCCACCAAGCCAGCTCCCAGGCACATTTTGATTCTGGAATAGTTGGTGTCATTTCCCCTGGACAGTGGGAGAGGGGCTTATGACCAGTCCCCAGAAGCACCTGATGGATCTCAAATAGGACCATTCGGAGGGACTAAAAGACCTTTAAATAGCCAGACATCATCTATATGGCTACTTGTGAATCACAAATTACCTCCTGCCCCGCAAAGCTTGCCGGCTGCTACAAATTCTTTATGCGCCGGTCTCCACTATTTCATTCACTGAATATGCTCAGGCTTCCTCACACCTAACCAGCCAGGGTCTAAGAGATGGAGGCCAGGGCCCCTGCATTCCCCTCAGAACAGTCAGGGGACACAGATACCTTGTTAGAACAGCAGATGGAACAGGAGCAGCAACTGCCACTGTGGTAAAAACTGGAGCGTCTTCAGGCAGTGAAGAGTCTGGGGGAGAAAAAGAACTTCCCGAGGGGAAGGGGGCCTTGGACTCACACTCATGTGAAAGGGAAAATAGGAATGGGGACCCATCCTTAACTCGGGAGACTCAACAACAGCTTTCCTCCTAGGACCCTTTGCTGCCCACTCCGGCCCAGAAAGACTGAGAAAAGGGGATCTCTGAAAAAAGTAACCACATAAACCCTAGAGCCCTGAATGCTGTGGAAGAGGGAAGGACATCCTGCCATCAACAGGAGGCATGCTGGGGAACAACTCCTGTCAGCTTCAGCCTCCACCCCTCCCTCCCTAACCCATGCCCCAACTATACCCACAACCCTTCAAAGGGGCTGACTATGCTCCTGAGAATTCATCACAGCAGGAAAAGCCCTGAAAACACCTGTTTCCAGACCAGGGGAAACTCTCAGGAAGGAGCCGGGTCAGGGTGGCCAAGTCACAAAAGCCAGGCCTATGGGGACAAGGAGGTGGTTCAGGGCCTGGGTTCCTGGAAGGGCTTCTAGGGGCCTTGGCTGTTCCTCCCTCACCTGCTGTCCTCCAGAGCCGGCTCCAGCATGCTCCCCCCTTTGAGGTGTTTGAGGGCCACCTCAGCTGCCTTGTGCTTGGCTGCCTTCTTGCTGGGGCCCTGACCTGAGAGAGGGGTGTGGGTAATACTGGAAGTCACTGGAAGGACAGAAGAGAAACGAGCATCCCACAGCCTCTCTCCTCACAGCCAGAGGAAGTCAACCGAGTCCCCTCTGACCAACCTCCCCCTGCCTGAAACTACATTAGGTTCCACTGATTGCTGGAAAGGCTCTTGTCCATGAGCTCCCAGAATGAGGCCACAAGAAGTAGCACTTCTGAGTTCAAACACGTAAGGAGTTTCTTTCTGTGCTTATTTCCCTCAGATTACTTTCTTTCCTCTCAATAAACAGAAAGCTGAAAAACAGACGATAAACTCTGCAGTCAAAGACCTGCTCGGCCACTTACTAGGCATGGGACCATGCACTAGCCTTTCCATCTCTGATACTCAGTATCCTCCTGTTCAACATAGGTAAAGCCCCGCACAGCCAGCACTCATTCCTCCAAGTGCCCCCTGAGAATTTGGTGTCTCCTTCACGGTTCTTCTGGGACAATGAGAATCTGCCAAATCCCTGGGCAGTCCCGCTCACTCCTATGGCTCTCCCAAATCCTGCCCACCTCACAGACCTGTTTTCTCAATCCAGTCAGAGGTCTTTCCCCTTGCACCTCTCCTTCCCTCACTGGCTTTAGACAACTGTGAACAGAGACACTCTAAGATACAAAGCCATGGGCCCTTGAATGCACACCCCAGGCTGCCCAAACCTTCCTCACCAGTGCAGCTGGTGTCGCCAACGGTGACCCGGAAGGTGAAATTAGGCTGGTGGGCTTGGCCCTCGGCTTTGAGAAGGTCGTACACGGGCGTCTTCCCTATTCTGGTCCCATACTCCTGCAGAAGGCTGATCGGGGTCTTGCCCGGGTTGGCGGCCAGCATTTGCTCTATACTGGGGGGAGGGGCACAGACCCACATCACACCTCCCCCTTCTACACCCACCTGGCCATGCACTGCCACACCAGACCTTGACACATTATGGGGGCCATAGGATCTAGGGGACTCAGGCAGTAGAGCATCCACTGGCTGGGTTCAAATGGGGGTGCAGCTGTAAAGGCAGGGTCCACTACCCCAAGGCAGGTGAGAGATGTACTGTTCCTTTCTCAGTTAAGGCAAGGGACCCTGTCCCCTGTGCTGATTGGAAGGCCATGCCCCCTGACATGGTACAGCACAGGAACTTAGTACCCACCAAATGCACTGAATGTGGGGGCATAAAGCCCAATGCTCCAGGGCAGTCTGGGAACCGGGCCAACCCCAAACTATTTAGAGCTGGAGGAGGTGGCCACTACCCCAGTGCACGCCGGGAACCACTGCCCACTACCCCAGTGCTTGCCGGGAACAACCCTCAGGCCAGGTGCATGCTGGGGCCGCGCAGCTAACTCTCCGCACCGTCCTGCATTTTTTGCTCCGCAGGGAGTGGGACGAAGCGACTCACCTGGGCAGCCCGCAGCCCGTGATAGTGCCAGAGCCCTGCTCCTCTTCACTCATTCCCTCCTCCGTCCCCGCGGGCGCCACCGTAACTACAGCCTCCACGAGCCCCGATACACCGACGACGAGCTAGGGCCGGGGCCAAGCCCGGAGTCGCGGCCGGTAGGGCCTGCCGCGGGGCATGCTGGGATATTGAGTCCCCCGCCCACCCAGTTTCATGAGTCTCCATCAGGAGGGGAGCTATCCGCCCCACAACCCTCCGCGTAGTTCGCCGGGGCTGGCCGCGCCGCCTTCTGGGAGGAGCAGGCCCCTCCGCGGGTGCGGGCTAGCTGTGGGCGGTCGGGTACCGCCTCTCCTCTGGTCCTTGAAGCTGTGAGCATGCGTACTGGTGCGTGGAACCTGCTAGGGGCGGAGTGGTAAGGACTAACAACTCGAGATTGGGGCCTTTTGAAACCTAAAAAAACTACAGAACCCGGCAGAACAAGCGTCAACTTTGTCGCAGCTGAAGGGGCAGGCTCTAACAAGTAGAAGGCTTCGCAGCGTTACTGGCTACTCGGATTGCGTTTACTGCCTCTAGACGCTTTGAGATTGGTTACTTCGTTAGGGGGCGGGGACAACCGAAGAGGCAGCCCCTCCCCCCGCCTTGATCCGCTTCCTTCCTAGGAAGGGTTCTGATTGGCCCAGGAGGCTGCCCGCGGATCCTGGCTCTTTGCTGTCAGCGAGGGTAGCTCTTACCTGGACGCGAGAGGGGGCTGTTCTCTTCAATCCAGAGGGCTCTGGGGCCGTTGTACATGCAAGTTCTTGTTTGACAGTTGTCCCCCGACCCATGCAAAAGCCCCTGGTAGTCAGGTCTTCGTGTCACAGAACCTGTTTCGCTTCATTTTTCTAGGTTGTCCTTGACCTCCCTTCCTTTAACTCTGCGGTCTGTCGGGTTTGGCTTCTCCACTAAAGCCTCTTAAAATCGGACCTACTGAACCTCTCTCCAACTGTCCAGGAATCTGGGGTCCGAGAAACAGGCTGTAGGGGGACAAGATTAGGATTCAGTCACCTGGTATCATACCCTCTGCCGTGAGTCTTGCGTCTCTCAGCTGAAGAGCCAGGACACTGGTCCACTGATGCAGAGCCCTGTGCCCTCCCCCAAAGTCTCGCAAGCACTGGGCTGAAAGCTGTAAGGGAAACCTTCTGACCTTGGAGAGAGATCACGGAAAGTGTCTGATAGCAATGAGTGTTTTGAAAATGGGAGGGGGTGGTCCAGAGGAATCTAGATAATGAGGGGGTCATCCAGGAACACTGGAGGGGGCGGAGGCCTACAGCTAAGTGGATTCCAATTGGGTGAAATTGGAGTGGTGACAACCCGAGGAAGCAGAGCTAGCAAGATCGGTATGACAGGGGGAGTAATGCCAGAGCACTGGGGACCCCACCCGAGGGGCTGTTCTCTCCGGGTATAGAAAGAGACGATACAACGGGTCATACTTGAGGCTGCACCGGAATCAGCATAGGGTCCGAGGTGGAACCACCCGAGGGAGGTCACCAACAGGAAGGTGCGGGCCCCAGCAGGCCAGGGACCAGCCCGGAGCGCCGCGGATGGCAGCAGCGGGCTCCTTTAAGAGGCCGGCGGCTCCAGCGCAGCATCCCCCGCTCAGGGCGTGTCCGTCCCGGGGGGCCAGAGGCGGGGGCCTGGGAAGGAGCGGGAGTTCAAGCAGCGCAGGGACAAGGCTAGGGGCCGGGGGTGGGAGCAGAAAGCTGGAGCTGACACCCTTGCGCCTGGACGCTGTACGAGCATCGCCTGTGACAGCGCCCCAGGTCCGGTCGAGGGCAGCAGGAGGAGGAGGGGAGGAGAAGAAGGAGGAGGAGGAGGCGGGGAGCAGCATCCGGAGCGGAGCTGCAGCAGCGCCGCCTTTTGTGCTGCGGCCGCGGAGCCCCTGAGGTGAGAGCCTGGCCGAGTTGTGGGGGTTGGGGGGCAGGGATGGGTTCGCGTCTTGGGGTCTGGGGTCTGGGCATGGAGGGAGGGCACCGATGCGGATGCGCCGCGGTGGGGGAAGAGGTGGAATGCAGGATGGATGCTGAAGCTGTGGGGATGGAGGAGCTGGGGACCTGGACCCGACGCCTGTGGGGATGGGAAGGAGGGGAAAGGAGCCGAGGGCTGTCGCGGCCCAGCTCAGAGACCGAGGGCCTCCAGAGCTGGGAAGGATGTATAGGGAAGGATGTGGGGTGATTGGGGGGCCGACTTAAAGGACTGAGGGGTATAGAACACCTTCTCCTCCTCTCACCCATCAAGAAGCAGACAGAAGGGGAGGGAGAGTTTTAGCTCCCTGAAGGGAAGAGAAGGAAGGGCAAGGCCTGGTGTCCCGTCTTTCCCCTCCCCCACGGAACAGAGCGGGCTCCACCTGAAGATCCCAGGCAGCACCTGTTCCTGGATGCCCTGGCGGTGGTCCCCCTCCCCTTCCATCTGTGATGCCCTTTATCCCTCCAGCTGCGGCATTCCCCTCCATCCAGCTGTTGCATTCACCCCTCCCCCATTCATGTGTGGCTTTCTCTCAGCTTCCTGAACCCTTTTCCCCAGGTCAGGCCCTTCACCAGCCTCCGCTCTCCCCCTCACCCTCAGACTCCTCGCTATAGAAAGGAGCAGGAATTCTTTCTACAGACTTGAGACTTAATGATGACTATATCCTCCAATGAGGGGAGGGAGGAAAAGGGGTCAGGGCTCCATAGCCAGTAGGATGAAGTAGATGCCCTTTGGGATTAAGGTAGGAATCCTCCCTAAGCTCCCTTTTCTCCTACCTCTTTGGCCCTCAAACTGAAGAGAGAGCATGAGACCTTCACCCCATCCAGAGTCCCTTCCCCATCAGTCATCAGGTTTCTGCCTCCATTTGAACCCCCTCCCCCTCCAACTCTCAGGCAGCCTGTGGCCCATCATTCTGTGAGCTCTGATTTCATCATACCAAGCCAAGGCCACCTCTGCTATCCGAGTGCCAATGTTTTCCTTTCGTCCCAAGCCAAGGCCAGCAGAAGGGATTCAAGAAGGAAAAGGCCCACTGCCCCTGAGCCTTCCAGTCCAGGGAGCTGAAAGACCCTGCTCCCTCCTGTCATCCACTGGAGGGTGAGAAGTTGTCCTGACAATCCTGCCACCCATCCAGTTCCTCACACTGTTGCCTGAGGTGGTGCTGGGAAGACCCTGACTCTCAGCACACATGAAAACACAAATAAGTGGCCGTTCTTTCATGAGATCTAGATATGGGTGGCAGAAGCAAGAAGTTTAAGAAATTGTTGCAGGATTTCCTAGGTGTCCTTACAACTGTGGATGGCAGAGCCCTTCTGAAAACCAACTATTGGCTGGATGTGGTGGTACATACCTGTAATCCTAGTTACTCAGAAGGCTGAGGCAGGAGGGTTACAAGTTTGAGGCCAGACTGGACAACTTCATAAGATCCTGCCTCAAAAATACAGGTCATGGGGGCTGGGGAGATGGCTCAGTAGACTAAGCGCTTACCTGACAAGCGCAAGGGCCTGAGTTCAATCCCTGGTTCGGGGGGGGGGGAATACAGGTCAGTGGTAGAGTGCCTGCCTAGCCTAGAGTCAGATCCCAGTACTCCAAAACAAATCAACTGGTGTTTGTCCTCCCCACCAGCAGGGGAGTAGCTAGAGCCTAGGAGTGCCAGTAAAAGGACCCTAAGTCCTAGTACACCTCCACAGTTGAGTCTGGGAAGGAAGGTGGGTGGACATTAGCTTCTGTCGAAATGTTCTGGGGCAACAGGGGGCACTGGGGCTTCAGGAGTAGTGACCACAGAGGCAACCTGTCTTGATTGTTTTGCTTCCAATAGTCCTGGGGTCGTGGGTGTATTGAGGAGGCAGGCCTGTTCCAGAGGAGAAAAGGACCTTCCAGAGACAGCCTTTGCCCCTTCCCGCATGTCTCATGCCCTTTCTACCCATACCTTCTACTCTTGCTTGATTTGAGGGGGAAAAAGAAGGGAAGAGAAGGAAATCCTATTTTTTTACAAATCTGTTTTCATGTTAGACACTGTCCATGTCACTGCTGTTTATACAGAGAGCTTCTGTGTGCCAGGTGCTGGGCCAGGGGCTTTTTTTGATTAGCTCAGTAATGCTCATAACAAGACTAAATCAGTGTTATAATTCTCTCTGATCTAGGATGTGGACTCTGAAACTTGTTACTTATTCAAAAGCAATGCCTTGGCTGGGGAGATGGCTCAGTAGAATAAGTGCTTGCCTGGCAAGTGCAAGGACCTGAGTTCAATCCCCGGTTACACACACACACACACACACACACACACACACACACACGCAATGCCTTAGTATACAGCAAGACTGAGGGCTTGAACTTAGGCCCATCTGCCCCAGAGTAGTGTTCCTACCCACCACATTATGTCCTGCATTGCATCCCCTCTACAAGATACAGTGCCACTGGCTCCATTCAGAGATAAACAGTCTCATGCTGGCCTGGTATAATGGCTCGGTGCTCTGATCCCAGCACTCTGGGAGGCTAAAGCATAAGGAGTGAAAGTCTGGGAAGAAGGGAGGGAGGGAGGACAGGACAGGACAGGAAGGCAGAGAGACAGGAAGGAAGAAGGAAGCCTTATAATCTCAGGACTCTGCAGGCTTAGGCAGGAAAATCAGAAGTATGAGCCCAGCCTGGGCAATTTAACTACTCAACAAGACTTCATGTCCAAAAAAGAAAGAAAGGGCTGAAGACATGAGGATAGAGTGAAGGCCCTAGGCCTGGGTTCAATCCCCAGCACTGCAAGGAAAAAAAAAAAGGAAAGTCCCAGACAGCCAGGCACTGTAGTATATGCCTATAATCCCAGCACTAAAGAAACTGAACCAGGAGTATTGTAAATTCAAACTCTCCAATATGGAGAGTTCAAGGCCAGTCTACACTGCTTAGTGTAGTATCACCCCATCTCACCCCCGCCCAAAGTGGGGCATGATGGCACTCGCCTGTAATCCTGATACTTATGAGGCCAAGGCTGTGTGTTCAAGACAGCCTATGTTATAAAGTGAGTTCAAAGCCAGCCTGAACTACACTGTGAGACACTGTCTCATAAAAACAAAAGTCTCGTACTACAGGTCAGAGACCTCAAGTGATCTCTGATTCTGATGGTTGTACCTCTCCTCGACAGTATCTACTCTCCCTCCATGGCACAGCAGTCTTAACTAAGGAAAGGGACAGGAGTGGGTAGACACTCCATAAATGTTACTTTGTCTTCTTCAATTTAAAATGGTTTATATCCTAGCACTTAGGAGGATGAGGCAAGAGGATCGCTAAGTTTGAGGCTACCCTGGGCAACACAGTGAGTTCAAAGGCAGCCTGGAATATTGAGACTCTGTAAAATATGTCTTACGGGCCTAGCCCAGTGGCACACACCTGTAACCTCCACTGCGTGGAGAGCTGAGGGACAAGAATCACAAGTTCAGTCCTGGGCAATTGATCAATTTATTTTAAAGTCAGTTTATTTTAAAAATAAATAAAGAGGCTAGGCATGGAGGTGCAAGCCTATAATTCCAGCACTCAGAGGCTGAAGCAGGAGGATCACAAATTAGAGTCAGGCTTGAGCAATTTAGCAAGTCAGGGAGATACTGTCTCAAAAGAAAAAAGGTTAAAAAAGAAAAAGAAAAAAGGTTGGGGAACTAGAGATGTAGTGAGTGGGAAGGTCCTGGATTCAAACCCCAGTACCACAAAATAAATAATATAAAAACAATTCAAAATTATTACTGAAATACAGAAAATGTCAGTAGGCCAAAAGAAGAAAATTAAAATGTCCATAATTCCACCTGTGTACCAATTGTTACATTTAGTTATCCTTTCAGGATTTTGGTGGGTTGATTTTTGTTTTTGTGGTGCTGGGCCTGGCAAGATATGAGGCAAGTGCTCTACTTCTGAGCTACATCCCCAACCCAGATTTTTATAAATGTGAGCTCATTTCAGGAACTATTAAAATGTACAAGCCAGGTGTGGTGACACACACCTGTAATCCCAGTACTTGGTAGGCTGAGGCAGGGGGAAGATTGTTGTGAGTTTTGAAACCAGCCTGGGCTACAAAGTGAGCTCAAGGACAGCCTGAAGTACATAGGGAGACCCTGTCTCAGAAAAGAAGTGGGGGGAGTACAGAGCTGTAAGCAAGGTGTGGTGGTGCATGCCTATAAATCTCTGAACTTGGGAGGCGGAGGCAGGTGGATGACCATGAGTCGAAGGCCCATGCGAGCTACATAGCGAGCTCAAGGCCGCCTAAACTGCACAGTGAGACCCTGTCTCAAAAAAAGAGAATCTGGGCCGGGGAGGTGGCTCAGTAGAATAAGCACTTCCCTGGCAAGCACAAGGGCCTGAGTTCAATCCCCAGTTCCACCAAAAAAAAAAAAAAAAAAAAAAAACAACTAAAAAGAATCCCTTGCCTCACAGCCATAGGAAGGAGTGCGAGGACGGATGATCCAATAGGAAGCAAGTACGGGTGCCAGCACAACCATGACCACTGTGATCTGGTTCCACTGGAACCTGAAATTGCAAGTGGTTCTGTGAAATAGAAGCATGGAGACCGAAGCCTCTCTTTCTGATCACACAGAGACTACTTCTCTAGGTGATCAAAAGACACAGCCACCCAAGAAGACAAAGCCAAGAGGCTGGCTCAGTGTCTCAGGCCCTCCTTGGCCTGTGGTGTTGGGAGTCTGAGGGAGATGATGCTCCTCAAACTAGTGGGTGGCAGCAAAATTGGAGCACTAGCTCTGCTCTCTCCAAATCCAAAATTTCGGGTTGGGTGTGGTGATACTCGCCTGTTAATCCCAGCACTCAGGAGACTGCGAAATGAGGATTACTTTTAAATTTAAGGCCAGCCTAAGCTACACAGTGAGTTCAATCTTAGCCTAAACTACACAGAAGAACCCGTTCTCAAAAATAATAATAGGGGGCTGGAGAGATGG